CGAACAAACGACGATTTCATATTCTCGTTTTTCTCAACATGTGCAAAAACACACTTTTTCGGGGCTTCTCGTATTTTGAAGTTTTCAACCTGAAAATTTCATCCAAATTGAAATCTGATCATGAAGATCCTAGGTCAGAATTGTCAGGGCCATCGAATGGTGTATGATTCGACTACTTTTGAATCTGCTCCGTTTTTGCCTTAGCGGCACCTAAGGCAAAAACGGTGCCGCTAAGGCAAAAACGGAGCAGATTCAAAAGTAGTACTGTGACCAGCTCACTTTGCAGAGATTTCAAGGGCTATCAAATGGTATATTTTCGAACAATACATCGTTTTTATAATATCGGCCAAGTATTTCAACTATTGATCAATGTGGGCATATTTTTGAAAGACATATTCATAGCTCATTTTGAAGCGCATGAAATTCTCTATGGAATGATGTATAAAGTAGAGTGGTTAATGACAAAATTAATGGATACTATAAACATGAACAACGTTGACATACCGGTTTCTTGGGATGCTACCGAGTATTTCGAATCTTAGTTACATCTTCCTAAGACTATCTTACATAGCATTTTGAAGCCCGTGAAATTCTCTATCGCATGCTGTATAAAGTAGAGTGGTTAAAGGGAAGATTAGTCACTACTATAGAGATCAACCACGTTGACCAGGTGAACGCCGTAGAATCTCAAGAAACTGGTAGGTCAAGTTGACCTACCGGTTTCTTGGGATTCTACCGAGTATTTCGGACCTTAGAGTACCCGGTTACATCTTTTTAAGGCTAGCTCATATCGTAAAATTCTTTATCGAACGGTGTATAACAGTTGAGAGTTGCTCTAGGTGAAACAGGTTGAATAATGTAAATACTTTAAGTAAACGTCGTTTAACGCGAGAAGAGTTTTTTATGTGATTTTCAGCATTTTTCGTATATCTCGAGAAAGAAAGCATATTTTTCGAAAAAGAAAATTTTCATTCTGAGACAGGATCTGGGGTATCTGTGGTAAAAGTTTCGACTCGATCGGACCATTTTTTGTAGAGGTCATAATGTGACTGGATGAAAACCCATAGAAGATCATGTCACAAAATTCTGAGCAAAAATACATCGATTCTCTTTTTCGGTCTTCTATCTCTCGTATAAATCTGAACTCGGTCGGACGTGTGCTTCGCATTTGGCAACAAAGTGATAAAAGAGGGGTAGGGTATCCTTAACGTAAGACTGATTTGAGCGTCGGCCGATTTTGTCTCTTATCGTTCCTCGTCCCTTTGAGTTCTTGCGACTTGAAGAACGGAATTTGAGTTCTCTATTTGGGAAAAATGAAGAGCAAATTCCCATTAGTTTCCACCTTTTTTTTAGAGTGTACGTAGAAACAACTGGTTAAGTCGAGCTAGAAAAAGCTAGTTATACCTATCATAACCTAGTTCCAGAAAAGTTTCTTTTGCTTGAGTTGAAAGTTGACCCTCTTTCGGCCGAGCAAGCATGCATTTGACGTGATCGTAAAATATTTCAACTCAATTATGTGTACAAAACCCACTTTATTTGGTAGAAACTAGCAAAGATTTCCACTGACGAGGGAACCTTTCGAAGTCATTAAACGCCTTTTGCTCGGAATCTAGTAGGTTACAGGTTATCGACCATGCTGCTTACGAATATGACCATGGTGGTCTCTCTTAGTCCTTCCAAGACCTGGTTTTCTTGAGAATCAGTTTTTCAGAAACTCTAAAATATAACACCAACCTTTCTTAATGAGGCATAATTATAGCCCGCATATTTCTGATTAAACTGAGACATCTCCCAGCTTTACACGACCTTTCTTTGGAAAGTTATAGAATTACAAGAAAAGCCCTAAATTAACTTCTTTTTATTTCTGTAGCTTTGAACTGACAATGAACATTTAGGGCTTTTCTTGTAATTCGATAACTTTCCAAAGAAAGGTCGTGTAAAGCTGGGAGACGTCTCATTTTAATCAGAAATGTGCGGACTACAATCATGCCTGATTAAGAAAGGTTTGTGTTATATTTTAGAGTTTTTGAAAACTGGTTTTCTAGAAAATCAGGTCTTCAAAGGACTAAGAGCAAGCCCCATGATCATATTCGTAATCAGCATGGTCGATAACCTATAACCTACTAGATTCCGAGCAAAAAACGTTTAATCACCTCGTGAGATGTTTTATTGCACAATATTCTCTGCATGTACATACCATCGCATATTTCACGCCAATCTAAACATGTATGACGACCCTGACATCGAATGTAACATGTTCCGTTCGTAACTGATAAAACATCTGTTGTTGTTTCTTTCATTTCATATCGATTGCTAACCAGCGTAGGAAAAAATTGCATTTCATCATCCAGTTTATATTCACAATATCTTCCAAACCATGGATGTGTACAATTATAATACATATTTTCAGTGGTTGTTAAGTTATTCGGAATTGTTTGAAGAAGATATTGATGATAGTTTTCAATAATATTCAATGGTGAGTACCAATTATATAAATTGATTGGTGTCACATTCCATTGTTTCAGTTCTTCAAATGTATATTGTTGAGTATAGTTTGAATTTATTGTAGATGAAGGCGTCGAAATACAATAAGGTGCAATTGTTATTCTTTCATAATCATAAGGGAATATAGGGTGCATATCCAACGCACTCCTTATTAATGCATAATAAATACAATCATATTGTTCATTTTGAATATTGTAATAAAAATGATATGAACAATTACTTGATGACCAATAGAGACAAATGAAAAATAGTTTAAGATACAACATCTCACTGTTGTTAAATGAGATGAAATAAGCCAGAACTTTTTTTCTATTAAGTTGCTGTTATCTTTATAGTTCACCGAAAAATAAGATAATTTTATTTAAATTGGTAGCATATGGCAAAGTTTCTATTTCCTGTTTGTCTTTTAGCTGGATCAAATAAGGAAGTACCGGAGCAAATCGTACTTTATTGCGCATGAAACAGTTTATGCGAGTTTGACCTTGAAAACTTTTCTTAGCTACAGTCGATATATAGCAGACTGAAGAAAACTTTATTGTTCTTAAAGTACGGATTATCACATAGAAAACAGTTAACAGTTTCAGAACTACCTGTGAGTGAATGACAATGAGTTTTGATTATGAGGATCAGAAGGCTTTGAATGTACCATCTAAACATTGTTCGCTTTTTATACTAAGGTTGTTTTTTTATATGAAAGTTTCAAGTTTACTCTCATTTTTAAAAGTGTGAATATCTTCCCAAACTTTACGAGTCGTCGCAGAGTACGATTAAAGTAATATTTGCTCCTGTATTTCCTTATTTGATCCAGCTAAAAGACAAACAGGAAATAGAAACTTTGCCATATGCTGCCAATTTAAATAAAATTATCTAATTTTTCGGCGAATCATAAAGATAACAGCAACCTACAACTCTACTCTACAAATCTGTTTCTTCTCTTTCACTGTTATCGAAAAACTCAGTGCGCTCGATCGTTTTTTAAGTAAGTCGAGCACAAAAAGAGCTAGAGAGCTCGGGTCTTCGCCATTGGAAAGAAAAGACTTGAGTGCACTTTTCTAAACAGAAAAGATTTCAAAAATCTTTTTCGAAAGTAGGCTGTTTAAGAGATCTTTGAAAAATCAGGCTATAGCTCAAGAACTTCAAGCACTACTATCCATTTCAAAATATGATGTGGGTGATTGCGACATGAATAACTCGAGAACGGAACAAGTTATCGAGATCGGATCTTCTCCACCGTGTAGCCAAGACCGGGACACGTAATAATATGCAGAAATCAAAATTTTTTGCGCTGATCTCTGGAGGAT